CTATAAGATTAAGGTCAATCAATACAATGCATGAATTTTTTAATTAGACAATCGTGTATTTGTACGTAAATGGTAAATGCGGCAACACTGACGAGGGTATCCCACTAGCAGTGAACGCCTACCTCCTTGATTTCACGCGATTTTTAGCTCAGGGCAATAAGGAAAAACATATCCTGTTGTGGGCTTTGAAATAACCGGGTATTCGACAAGTTTCTTACGTAGTATAGATTCCTCTAGGGCAAAAACCTCTACTTCACTGTAGTAAAGTGAATAAGTGGTGTTGGTTCATGTAGTGGGTCCAATTGTGGGTTTACATGTTATTTAAATTCTTTTGCATTAAGATACCCGTTAATGTAAGTTAATTTAATTCAGCAGGTATTTTTATCATCATTTTTTTAACAATAATTATTTGTAATTGATATGAGGTTGAATGCTTGAATAAATGAACTTTGAAAAATTAAGGCAAATATCGAGAACAAGTTTAATCAAATCTTGCCTAAGTACTTTCGCTATCTACAGCATCATCACGGGCATTTCGTCAAATTTGGGCTATCCAACAAGCGTAGAATGTAATACACATGAGAGTGGACATAAATTGTACATAACACTACATTAACACAAGGACAAACAGTTAAAAATTATTCTAAAGCTCTACATTCTTGTCGGGAGCCGGAGAGAGAAACCTCTGCCCAAAGTACTTGGGCAAGATTTGACTAAACTTGTTCTCGATATTTGCCTTAATTTTTCAAAGTTCAATTATTTGTAAATTTAAGTCTAAATCACTTATTCCTATATCTGCCATGAAGAATCGCTCCGAAATATTGGTTATTTGAAAAAAAAAAAATCGAAAATTGTTTAAACAAATTAGATGGTCTATCCAACAATTATTTATCAATTAACGCCATTAAAGATAGGTTGAAATAGAAACTGTAAGTTGCTATTTCAATTTTGGTCGCGCTGATTTGAAAGTTCTCCCACCTTCAACTTCAACAGATCTGATCTGAGTTGGCACTTGGGGATCCAATGATGACAGGTGTTACTCTATTTTTTTTTCTTTCCTAGTATTTTAAAATCTTGTACTTGTACACTCCATTTTCAATGTGGTTTCCTCTTTTAGTATCTGATTTAGTGATAGTCAACAGTTCTACAGCGCAAAATCAGACTAAGTGGAAAAGCATGCGAGAGGCCTATGTTCAGCAGTGGACGTCAGAGGCTAATTGATGATGATGATGAACAGTTCTAGGCTACCATCGGTCTTCATTGGAGGAACATTTTTGCTGGTTCTTCATTGATTTCCATAATTTCGATATTTGTCCTCCTTCACCAGTTACCTCCTTGTATTTTCACTCCAAAAATATTTTTGAGTATGTTTCGTTTATAAAAATTTATTGAGAATTTCTCAATTTCTAACCTTTATTGAGAATTCCCGTATTAGTTGCATAGAAAAGTGTCAGTCAGGTTCTTGCAGTATATATACCTTTCTCTGTTTTTCTATATTTTTTTGTGACTTAAATAATATAAGTAGGCAAAAATCAGGAGTGCTGGAAAATATCCGATTTCTTCTGAAGAAAGTTTTCTTCATTCTTCTTTTTCATTACTTCCAGCTAGGTAACGTGATCAACAATATCAAAATTATACTCCTTTATCTGGCTGGTTAATATATTGTTCACTGCTTCTAATTTCCATTTTTCTTCTTTTATCTCTAATCTACATGTTAATAAAACTAAGTCATCCACATATAAAACATAGGATCTTTGGTGGTAAATAGACTCTCAGTGTAGATTTTGCATTTTTACAATTTTTTTCCAAGATGAGAATGAAAAAAGCATATCCTTTTGCCCCAAAACTTCTACAAATTATAGTTGTAAACAGAATGACAACCTTTTTGCAATGATTATTGAAATTTAATTACAATTAGGAATTTCGACTAATGTTACAGTATTCTAAGCATAAAAAAAATATATATTATATAACGCGTTTTCATGAATTATCCGATAGTGACTTTGAATTTTGTTTTAAATTAGTTACTTTTTACTGGTGAACATAGAAAGTGTATTTTGTGATCTATAATTGTTAATAACTAAAAACCATGAACTTATTCACTGCCAAAAGAGTACAAGTTTTTGTCCTGGAGGCCTATGGTATTTAAAAAAACTTATTAAATTCCCGACCTGGTCAGAGCCCCGGGAAAAAAGCTTATAGACCAATTAAGTTTATAAAAAATAATTTTTTTTTCGTCACAACTGTATAGACGGGTTTAAAAGTTGAAATGTGTAGTATGAGATATTATAAAAATACCCACATCTAGGGATTCATCATATTTTCAATAAACAACCAAAACATCAAACCCATTATTTGGCTCATAACTTAATTTCTCTGTTTAGAGATTTCATCGTTTCATCAATCGAGATATGTCATCTTTTTCCTAGCGTTCTATTTTTAAACCGCCTTGGATTTTTTTAAGCGCGTGTTGTAAACGGAAGCGTTTACAATACTCCCGTTATTATTGAGATCCATTCAGTCAAATTATCTGGATAAGTCTAAGAAATTAGCCCATTTTTTTAAAATCTTATAAAAGAAAAGAGAACACGAATACAGAAAATTTTACAAACAGGTTAACACAAAAAGAAAAGTTTTCAAGCCACAAGCGAACCAAGTCAATGCCCTTAACGGAATTCTTTTAAACGAGAGAGTGGAAGTACTAGAAAGATGGCAGGAACATTTTAGTACGCTACTTAATGGAGAAAGTAGAGCTGAAGATAGATATGATATAGAAATAGAACATGAGGATACTGAACTACCAACTTTGGAAGAAATAAACAAAGCAATTCAGTCTCTAGCCAGAAACAAGTCACCCGGAGCAGACAACCTACCCGCAGAAATATTTAAATGTGGCGGTCAAACATTTGTAACCCTCCTTCACAAACTACTAATACAGGTATGGCAAGAACGCGCGTTACCAGAAGATTAGAATACTGGAATTATATGCCCCATACACAAAAAAGGAAACGTTCTTGAATGTTCCAACTTTAGAGGGATTTCCCTTCTTAATACAGCATACAAAATTGTGTCCCTGATACTTAACGAACGACTGGCACGGTATACTGACAATATAATAGGATCCTACCAAAGAGGCTTCTTGAAAAACAAATCTACCATTGATCACATATCATCCATCAGACAAATATTAGAAAAACGACGGAGTACGACATAGACTGCAATTACATCTTCTAGACTTTAAGGCAGCGTACGATACTATTGACAGGTCCCAATTATATTCGGCGATGATCGAATTAGGAATACCAAAACGTTTGGTAGAATTAATTAAAATGACAATGATGAAAGTCGAATGTAAAGTGCGCGTACAAGGGGATGTTTCAAAACCATTTAAAACCAACAGAGGACTGCGCCAGGGAGATTACAAAAATAACACATCCAACGAGATAAAAAAAAATATGCGTGGCTAACCGCTGTTATTTTGCCCTGGGCCCTCAACTAAGAGCGAGAAGTATGTCAATAGCAACAAAGTGCAAACTTTATAAAACAATAATACGCCCAGTGCTCACATACGGATCGGAAACATGGACAATGACGACCCGAGATGAAGAGTTACTACGAGTCTTTGAAAGAAAAGTATTGAGGACCATATATGGCGGAGTAAACGAACAGGGTCTGTGGAGAAGGCGATATAACTTTGAACTCTATAGATAACCCCCTCTGTGGCTCAGTGGTAAGAGCGCCTGCTTTTAAACCTAAAGGTCGTGAGTTCGAATCCCACCTGGGTGGAATTTTTCGTTTATTAAAAAAATTAATAAATGAAAATAATTTCTATCCTTGTGTGATCGGTACACACCGGAGGGACCGCAGGCGTTCGGATACAATTAGCGTCTCTTAGCAAAGACAATGACGTCGACTTTGCTAAGTATCAAGACAATTACTCTACACACACACACACACACACTACACCTCAAATTGTAAGATTGGCGAATGGATTTAGTGTCCGCAGTCATTTAAAACACAAACAAACAACAACAACTCTATAGACTTTTTGGTGATGCAGATATTGTGAAGACCATCAAAATAAACCGCCTAAGGTGGGTGGGCCACGTTATGCGGATGGATGAGAGTGATCCCACTAAAATAACTATGCTAAACAGGCCGGTCGGAAGAAGAAGAAGGGGGCGACCTAAACTCATATCTGGACGATGTACAGGAAGATCTGAGGGAGATTGGAGTGAGGGGCTGGAGAAGGCAGCCACTCGATAGGGAAGGATGGAAGAATATTTTGAAGCAGGCCAAGGCTCACCAAGGGCTGTAGCGCCAACTGATGTTGAAAAGAAATTAGATTTCACAAAAACTATTCAACCGATCTACCTCATCTTTTGCACACAATTCAAACACGATAAGGCCTTTAAGTTCGGACACATTTAAACAAATTTTAATAAATAACAAAAAAGTTATTAACAATATTCAAAAATAGCGATTTTGTTGTTCATTTTGCAATAACTTTTTTGTTTATCATCCGACTTTAAATTAGCATATCTCATTTTGTGTATCATTTTTGTTCGAAAAAACTTGTGTGTGGACATAAAATCTCTAAATAGACAAGTTTGTTAGTTATGAACAAAATAATGGAGTTGACGTTTTGATTTTTTATTTAAAAATATTTCCACTAAAGAATTGATGAATCCCTAGATGAGAATCTTTTTGTTTTTGTATATTTCATACTACATATTTCAACTGCCAAAACCGCTTGTACAGATGTGTCCAGTAAACTAACTTACTTGGCTATTATTTCTTTATACTATTTAGATATAATAGTTTTCTGATAGTTTAGCATTACAAAACTCTTTCCGACTACTCACAACCACGGAAATGTATTTACAGAGAAAGATTCAAATTAATTTCAAACCTTAGAAGGTACGTTAAAACAACACTCACGTTAGCAATGGATTAGATTGCAGAACATCAAAACTCGGATCAGTCCACTCTATAATTACCTTATTTACCATTGCTTTAACGTGATTGTTGACCAATGACACCAAATCATCATCAAAACTATAAATTTCTGCACGAAGTAACAGTGGACGAATGCATTTTATAACTAAACTGAAGCTTAAAAACAAGTATTAAAATTTCAAAGCAAGCAACAACACACGTGGATCTTCACTCCGATTCAAACGCAGAATATTTCTACCCGTACAAATACTACAAATATTATTTAAAAAAAAATGTTCTTATTGTATGCAACAGTTGTCACTGTCAGAGTCTTTATTTTTAGACTTGCCGTAGCTTTTTGACGAACTTGACAAACTAGAATCCGGTGACCCCGACGGAGAAATGTTCGTGAGGTTAACTTTTTGAACGGAAGGAAGTGAGTATGTTGATACTACTTCCTTCTTAACATCCTCTTTTTCAAACGCGTCGTTGTAGTTTTTCCTAGAAGGTTGTGGCGAATTTACCGACTTTTTCTTCTACGAGGCGCTAGTGGTGCGACATTTAGATTCTCTTCTCTTCTGGGTTTTTGCCTCATTGGCTTTTGTGGAGGAATCAACTCTTCTTCTTCTACATCCTCTACTTTTTTATTTTTATTTACAGTAGCGTACAAACTTTCTATATCAACATTTCTATCAGGTACTTCTTCGCAATCTTTGGTACTAGTGGAGATACAATCATCCAACAGAGATGTATCTGTGGACTCTATAGCTTTAGCAAATGTAAGGGGAGCAAATTCGTTAATAGACAACGAAAGAGAATCATCTTCATAACTATTTGCTTGAGGTACTTCGTTCTCTAGATCTTCCGTACTTTCTGGATCGATCCTATTATTACTAAAATTTGTACTGAGATCTTCTAAGGATTTTTCTAAAATATCCATTGGATGATCTGTCGTTTCACAAATATTTTCATTATTTACAGCCACATCCGTATCACATATATTAAAATTATCATTGATTGGTGCTAAAGATTCTGTATTAGTTATGAGATCTACATTTTTATCATCTTGAAATTGTTGTAAACGACATTCCAGAGCACTTGTAAAAGATGCATCCTCTTCCAAAGTTTGTGAATGTGTTTTTGTATCCGTTTCATCTTGAGTTGGTTTTAAACGACATTCCACATTATTTGTGACGGATGCATCGACTTCCATAGTCTGCGAAGGTGTCTTTGCATCGGTATCACCTTGAATTGGTTGTAAACGGTATTCCAGAGTACTTGTGAAAGATGCATCAGCTTCTAAAGGCTGTGAATGTGAGTTTGATGTTTCAGGATAAACTTGGTTCTCCTTCAAATCCATTTCAGGTGATTGTGGATAGACTATCGAAGACACAGATATATTCGCCTTCCAATCATTATCGTTATGTTGATTAGGTTCATTCTTTTGGGATGCAGACTCATATCTGTCTCCAATACTTAGGAGAGTGTCCTGGACAAATTTTTCTAAATCATCAAAACAAGTTGATATCGATTCTTGTTTTTTGATCGGCGTTTTAATGGAAGGTTTAGGTTTCTTAATACTAAATTCTTTGGTTTCAAATTTATTTATGGGTTTTTTAATGTTAACTTCTTTGGTTTCAAATTTATTTATGGTGCTTTTAACACACTTAGGCTTTGGCTTAAAGGGGTTTGCATGTAAAAGATTATAATCTTTTGGGTATTTATCAGTGTTTTCAGTAACTGGTTTAGTGACACTTTTTTCCGGACTGGTCTCAAATTTTTGCAGGATTCTCCTGATATTTACCTTCTCAACAGCATCCAAATCGACTGACGATCGAGCTACTACAGTAGGTTTTTTAAAACGAATTTCTGTTCTGGACCTTTTCAAGCCGTATAAGGGCTTATTATCCATGTATTCATTATCTACAGTGTTTTGTCGTGGTACTTTCCCCAATACCTGATCCTCGAAGAATGATATATTATTTTTGGGTATTTTACTAACGATGTTTTGTGATATATGAGGAGTTTTCAAGAACTTTTCTAAATTACTATATTTAACATCACTGGCTGATCTACATACTTTACGCTCAGGAGTATCATGATCTAAACCATCCATCCAGTTTAAAAGATCATCTATCTTATCTACGGGCTCCGCTTCGAAAGATTCTTCTATATTCACATTACTTTCTAACTCCAGATCTTTAAGTAGATCTTCTATACTGCTAGATACTTTTTCTTCCTCGCTATCTAACTGTTCCGGCTCCACATCGATTTTAAATTTATTTGGATCTATTGGTTTCTTCAATTCGTCCTCGTTTGCTAAAAGATTTTCGATATAATCATCGATATTATTGAGGTCTTCATCCGCAGGTTCAAAATTGAAGTTTTTAATACTTTCTAACTCTGTCGAGGTTTCTGGTAAGCTATGTTGCTTTATTAAAGGTTTATTAAGAATATTTGGTTTTCTAAGGAAAGGTTTTTTTAGATCATCGGGTTTTGCAACAGTATCCGACCTCTGTATGGTTTTCCTGGGTGGCAATTTTTTATTGCTAGCTCCAAAATATTTTTCTTTGTCAAGTAAAGCAGTGTTTACTGCCACTTTAGGTTTAACCATTTCTTTGGGTATTGATATTTTGCTTGGAGTTCTCTTAATGACCAACAAAGGCTCCGACTCTTGATCTTGGAATTTGGGCACAAATTCCGGACCATACGTCTTTCTGTCTTTCAAAGGAACTATAAAGTTTCTGATTACTTTCTTCGGTATAACCGACGTGTCAGGGCTATCAGAAGAGCCCGATGCGTTACTGGGTTTTGTGATTTGCAATTTTCCTACCACTACGTTACTTTCGTCAATTTTGTTCATGTTAAGATCGAAATCGCCCGAATCTGCGCTGTTATATTCGCCCGAATTTACGGAAATATTGTCCGAGGACCTATTTAAGTTAAATATATCGCGATTGGAAACTACATCGGGGATGTTTACATATAAGTTTAAACTTGATTTCACCTCGGTATCGGTGCCGGTGTCTGTATGGACAATGGGCGGTTCGACACAAACTTCTCGTTTCCGAAGTTCACGGGCTCTAATATCTTCTTCTCCCTCCGTGGCCGTATCTGATTCTTCACCTAAAACAACACGCAAAATTATTATACATATAGATACATATATAGTTACACATATATACATATATATTTTATCCATTTTCAACTATTTTGGATTATTGTTAGAAAGTCGACAGCCAATATTAGTGAAAGTATTGATAAGAAACGAATGTAGCGCATTTTATTTTTGAAATACATTGGCATGCAAAATTAACCGGACACTCATATTTTTTTTGTTTTTTTTTTTGTTGGTGTTTAGATTAAAACTTGTTTAATTTGATTGAATTGTATTTTATGCCTTATTAGCTATAACGTTTTTTTTTCTTGTTTGAACCTGTTTAGATGTTTTGTGTGAACAACAACACTGTTGCACATACGTTTTGTTATTAATGTGGCTTATAGTGGCTTATTAATAGTTTAAGTTTATTATGGTACTGTAGCTCGGCTGTAGTTTTGTATTGTCTCCTTGCATTAAAAAAAATATGACACCAGAGGTACTTCTTCTGGTGTCATATTTTATAATATGACACCATGTGACATATTATAAAATGATACAATATGACATAATATGATAAAGCACAAGCTGTTACTTTACAGGATGATGGGCGGAGGAATCATCGTTACTTCGCAAATGCTTTAGGAATTTCTCAAAGTACAGTGTATGATGCAATACAAAGATTTCGGTAAACAAAACAATACAGCAGGAGGCCAGATCAAGGTAGGAGAAGAACCACAAGTCAAGTCGAAGATCGTTTTCTTAGGACAAGCGTTATGCAATCGGAAATAATCAGCACCAGTACTTGTTCAACGATTAAATGATGTCCATAGAAACACAGTTTCCCTTTATACCGTTCGAAGACGCTTAAATAAATATGGATTAAGGTCCAGAATACCTGTCACGGGACCTCTATTTACAGCAGATCATCGCAGGCATAGTTTACACTTTACTCCCGAACATCTTAATTGAGGTGTTGACGATTGGAGTGCTGTGCTTTTCACGGATAAATCAATATTTAACAGATACTCATCAGATGTGCGACCTAGGATATGGAGAAGAGCTGGTGAATGTTATCATCAATGTTGTTTTACTCCAAGAGTTCAATTTGGTTGCGGTGGTATAATGGTGTGGGCAGTCATTTCCCTAGAGGCTCATACAGAACTTGTTACAATTCAAGGGGGCAATTTGAACGCTCAACGGTATATTCGCAATATTTGGAAGATCATGTAAGGCCATTTGCTCCATGTGTTAGAGAAAACTTTGGTCTGATGCAAGATAATGCTCGTCCACATCGAGAACGGGTACTTGGAAGTTGGATCGTTATTACATGGTTCCCAGGATGCAGACTTAAATCCAATAGAGTATGCTTGGGATATTCTGGCACGACGTATTCGACGTAACCATGGTAAGTTTGAAGCCATGAATGATTTGGAGCAAGCAGTTCGTGACGAATGGGAGCAAATCTCTCAAGCAGATTTTGCTGCCTTAATCCGAAGTATGCCTGATCAAATTAGGGCTTGTGGAGGTAATACACTCTACTAAATATCGTTTTCCATAAAAATGTTTATATCTCAAAAAAATTCCGTTTCTTTGCAGATTTTCAAATTTTTTGACTTGTTTTTTCTATGTAACATTCTTAACTTGCAATAAATTTGACTTTTAAATTTTGTTTATTTTTAAATACTCAATTGGGAACATCATAAACTTTTTTAAACGCCAGTTTTTAGGAAAAATCTGAATGCCCGGTTAATTTTGCACTCTAGTGCACTTGCATCAAGAGTCATAGACGGGAGGTGATTTAAAACAACTGGTCCTTTCAAGGTAACCAACTCTCACTTCTGGCCACACGTGCCACATCTCGATCACTGCATCGATCTGCAAGCTTAACTAAGTGGGTGAAGCTAGATATGGCGAACAACTTACTGACCAACGGTTGCAATGAATCAAATTAATGGTCAATAGTAAACGGATACAGAAGGCAATGGGAAACTACTGTATTAAATATCGCCGGAAAATCACCATAACATCAACACTTCAACTACAAACTAATCATAGAAATGGGAGTCCAAGAGTCGGTAGGAGATGAGAAACACGTTACCAACAAGACGTCTCTACATATTTTCTCTCTAATTGACACGATACAAAGATGCCATCTACTTTGTTGGCCATAAACGAAACATATTTCTGCAGCTTAGATATATTTAAATAGTATATGTCTTCATTAAAAATCTGTACTAGAATCAAACTTCTATAGAATCGTAAAAATTGGGACACCGATAAAATGTCCATAGAACTAGGAGTCAGACATGGTTGCATTTTATCCCAAACATTGTTCAATGTTTACTCGGACCAGTTATTTAAAAAGGCACTTGAGAGACACCCATATGGAATAAAAATCAACGGGGAACTGCTTAGTAATGTAATTAGATACGCGAACGATACAGTATTACTGTCAAAAAATATTGACGGCCTCCAAATTCTACTTGATCGATTTACGAAGTAAGAGAGGAAATGGGCACAAACAAAACCAAATTTGTAGTCTTTAGTCGTAACCCACATGTAGATGCAGAACTTGAATTAAATGGAGTCCAAGTTCACAAAATTATATATTTGAGAACAATCATAACGGACCAACTAGATCTAGGAATAAAACGCAGAATAGCAATGACTAAAATTACTTTTATGAAAATGAAGATATTTCTTTGCAATTATCATCTCATCTTAATGGTCACAACGGATTATTTTTCAAATTGGCCTGAAAATGCACCCCTTCCTAATCAAAAAGCAACTACAGTGGCAGAAACATGCATTACACACTTAGTATCAAGACATGGAGTTCCTTTAGAGTTACATTCTGACCAAGGACTAAATTTTCATCAGAAGTATGGCAAAAATTATGAAAATTTTGGGTATTAAGAAAACTCGCACTATGCCTTTACATTCGCACTCAGACCGAACGGTTGAAATAGAACTGTTTGTTAATACCTTTCAATGTTTGTCGCTGATAATAAAAAAGATCGGGATACTTTAATTCCTCTATTCCTGTTAGCCTATAGAAGTTCTGATCATGAAGCAACTGGTTATTCTCCATCAATGATGATCACCGGAAGAGAAGTTAAGCTTCCTCAAGACCTTATTTTCGAAAGATTCGCTCTCTGTGAAGAAGAACGTTGAACCCTGACGTATATCGAAAATTTGAAAGAAAAATTGGAAAAAGTCTACGAATTTGTTCGTAAAAGTTTAAAGCTCCAAGATAAATCCACCAAGTCCGGACTAAACATACATGCTACTTGGACATCTTTTAAACGAGGTGACCCAGTATATACAATCCCAAACGTAATAAAGAACTTTGTCCTGCAGAAAATAAACGATCTAATGTACCGCATCCAGTTTCCGGCTAGAAGTAAACCCAAGGTAGTTCATATCAAGAGATTAGCTCGATACCATGGAAATGATCTTACCCTGCTGGCTCAAATTGGTCAAAGGAGGGAGCAGTGTTGCGACAGTTCCGTTAGATTTATTCTATGTAGAAAAGGGTTCCTTGGCGAAATAGAAGAAGTATTAAAAATAACTAGAATGTTCGAGATGTACTATTCGAATTTTTGAAGTTAATAGTTGTCATTGTGTAAAAGTTGTAAACAATTATTGTTATATTGTTGTTATTGTTATATTTTGTCATTCTAAAAAAACTTCAAGTTAGATTATTGCTTTGTCAAAAAATAGATTAAAGGATAATATAGAAACAATAGTACTATTTTAAACGGTACTATTGTATAGTATATACCATTAAATAAATCGTACTTTTACCTATTTTCGAAAGTGCTTTAAATATTGAGGCAATTTACTATTATTTTTCTGAATACAATCGATGTTTCATCCTTAATCCAAAATAGTAGCAAATGAATGGAATATACTGTAAGTAACTGTATATCATAGACATACACATACATCAAATCACTTGGTAAATCTACACCATACTCTATTGGGTGTTTGATTAAAACAATAGAAGTTGCCAAATGAGCTGAACCGAAAAATTCATAATTGGCAGACATGCTAGGCTGTTCTGCTTTACCTTCGGTCAGTAGATTTAGCGATTGTTGTATACATTTACATTTAAAAAACTCGTTGTCAGTAAAAATACAAGGAACAGACATTTTTTCTTTATTACAAAAAATGTACATGAACACGTCTTGGTACACTGCGTGTCATATAAAACTGGTATTACTCTTATAACAGAATATCGTGTAAATATTAAACTACTTTATAGAGTATAATTTCAAGACTAACTTTTCCAGCAGTAACTATTATATACCTATTAAATAAAAACAAATAACATTAAAATTTTAATGAAGATAAATGGAAAAATAGGACTCTAAATTTGTATGAATAAGTGCCAAGTTAAAGACATATGGCAATTCGAAACAGATGAAATAAAGAATTATTCTTGTCATAGCTTCATTCTTATTAGTAACTCCTCGTAATCTTCTAAGAATTGAGTTAACTAAATTTATTGATAAATTTTTTTCTTCTCTAACGCTTTTCCTTCAATAAGAGTCAGTAAATGTTAACTGTTTTGGGGAGTTACATTTAATTTTTGGAACTTTTGTATTATAAGTCCTCAAATGTTCTTTGATTGTAATAGTATCTGGATTTTAAGAGGTTTTTGGAAGTGTTTCAATATTGTTTTCAGCAAGGTACTGGCGTACACCGTGAGCATTGGTCAATTGCCATGCGGCAAAATATAATTATCCCGTTTCTCACAATAAATCTTTCTGGTATTATCGTAACATATTCATAAATCTCCTATCTCTTGTATATATCAAAGCTCAAACATTTATATAGAATCGTCCAGAATTATCTTTGAAGAAATACAATTTTCCTTATCATCATCATCATTGGCTCCACAACCCATGGTGGGTCTTCGCCTGCTCAAGGATAAGTCTCCATTCGTGCTCCAAATAGTGCTCTGGATCTGCTTCTCCTTCTCACTCCATCTATTCTTTGATTATAAATATGTTTTGGCATC